AATATGAGGAAGGATGGGGTTCCACCATTTTTTTCAAGCCGGAATAGGTGCAACTTCATTTATAGGGGAGATTCATTTTGTTTCTTTTGTTTTCATTGTTTCAATTTATATAAAAGTTTTGAAACTTTCCTACTCGGCTAAACTTCCAACTTCCAAAACATTTATAGTTTTTAGGTCGAGTTCAAACAACGGAAAAAAAAGAAACAGAAAGGAATCAAAACACTAATTCTTTCATGCAACATCGAGGAGGAAGAAACTTCATAAGTTCATGTATAAGCTCGAAGAATGAAAAAAGAAACAATAAGAAACTTACCCTAAATGAAGCCCCTTGCTTTTTGCTCATTTCTATCCTGAATCAAAAAAGAAAATAGAAAAGAAAAGCCATTAAGTTTTATCCACCTTTCCTTGAGTCAAAACAAGCTTTAGTAGCCTGAGTCAATGGCAATTAGAAGAAAGAAAACAGGAAATTAAGCCAATTACTCCTAATAGCACTCGGAGCGGTCCAGCGTTGGGGCGCGCTCTGTCGCGTACCGACGATCGCGAAGATCGCCACTGCTGTCGCGAAGTATGAACGCTGCCTTATCGAAAAGGCACGACCGGTTCCGCCTGAGCAAGTGTCATGCAAAAGTGCAGAACTTATAGGCAAATTGCACACTTGTCTCGGTGTATCCTCGTCCCTGATGTGTGTGGAATGATGGGTCCGCAGTTGCAGTTGCGTGCCACTTTCACCGATCAAACTTGCAACGGTACGGGGCCAGAGGGTAGTAATGCCTGGGTATCGTCTCCATACTATGCCCACGTTGCCCTACGGCCAGCCACACGCCTAGCCATAAGCAATCGCAGTACTTGTCTGCGCCCTCTCACTTCTAGTTGTTCTCGACCTCTGATTGCGTGCTTGACTAGTGATCTTGGCTTTGACGCAAGTGCTGTACTTTTATGATAGCGAAGGCGGGGTATGGAGATGACACTCAGGTATCACCACCTTACAGCCCCGTTCCCGAGCAAGCAATTTTGAGCTGGGAGTGGAACGCTAAAGCAACGCAGGGCACCTTCGGCTCACACACGGGCAGTATCGAAGGTGAATAGACAAAGTCTATAATTGCCAATTATTCTGTTCAGGCTCCAGATTCCGAAGTCATCTCTCCGTGGTCAGTTGAGGGTACACAGTTCAAGCAATCTGTTGAAATGAGCGACATGTCGCCGTCTTTTATTCAGGTGATATTATGTAGCGATTCCTTATTAGTGGCTCAAAAAGTTGACTTGATCGGAGGGTTGTTCCCGCTTTTCGTCGTTGTGTCAGCCGACGCAACTTTGCGGTGCTTGTGGCGGGAGTCGTATCAAAAAAGAAGATGATGTGGGGATGCTGTGTTAAGGAAAAAAAATTCAAATTGTCGTGGTGCACTCGGGCTATGATGTGCACGGTCCCCAATCTGCTCATTAAACCAGTTAGGTAGAAATTGCTGGTTCGCCTGAATGTCACCAGAGCAATCAGTAAAGTTGAGCATCTCAGATGCAAAAGACGATAAATCCTGAAGACGTGTAGAATTAGTACGCCTAGCAGGACAGTATTTAGCACCCCTGGGCAGGCGCTCCGTAGCTCTTTTCCCAAGGGAGGTACCATTATAGCACCCTATCAAGCTGCAACATACCGACCCGGACGCCCACCGCGCCCGCCCGCCCACAAATGTCCGACCGATGCTGATGCTCGTATCGCTTCATTTGCGAAGTACAATATGAAGCGAAGGGATTGATATGAAGCGACTGCGGTGCTGCATGGATAAGTGTGTATGACATATCTACCGCAGCGGTTATTATCACGATGTCAGCGGGACACTCGTCCGAAGTCGCTATTTGACACGGGACAAAGACCGTTTTTGAGATTGTTTTGCAGGTTAAATCGTTTTCCTTCTCTTGACGCCATTATTCCATTGTATAACACCCCTGCTACCATTTTAGCCAGCTTACCGAATTATCGTGCCTTATGCCTTTGACCGGAGCTCAGCCTGCTTTTCCGAGCTTTTTCGATTCACCAAAGTAGTACAGGCTTGGAAACACGAAAAACAGGATGAAGGGCTAACTAAACTTCCGTTGACAATGGGGCGTGGCTGCGTATTCCATTTGAATCTGGTGACTGCAGTTTCAATGGAAATATTCTATGAAAAACACATTCTGTCTAACCACGCTCTCCCCAGCTCCGCGATACTTATCCTACCTGAAACCAATTTAGTACAAAGGAAACGGTTTTATGCTAGCAATTTGTCTAAATATAACTAGGAATTCATTGGGTGACTGTATCATCTATCTATTATCTATTATCCAAAATGACAGATTTATCGTAGAAATTGACAAAGCTAAGCTTTGCAGACCCCAACCACTGGCGAAGAGACCACAACGACGAAGCGGCCGAAAAGGAAGAAGTCTAAACGTGGAAAAAAGAAGAAAATGCGGCAGGTAAAAGTGCATCCACGCGGCGGTCGCCATATAAAGGACACGTACCAACGCCTTCGATCAGTGGTAGTTATTATTTATTTGTATGAACAAAATTAAAAACCATGTCGCGCAAAATTATGGCTCATTTTGTAACATAGGGCACTAATTTGTTACTTGAAAGGCTAATGTGAGCGCGCTATAGCCATGGATGATTTTTCCTGCAATATCAAATTTAGTGATGAATAGATCTACCAACGACTGATCGACATACAGCGGATAGTGTACCAATCCGGCGGGGTGTGGAGTGAGTTCGCTAGCGGCCGCCTGAAAACAATAGTGGCCAATTGTTCTCTTCTGAGCCCGCCACCATCGGTAGGAACCGCAGCCAAGGACGGGCTCATTTCATACGTCCTGACACCGCCTTGCCTAACTGCGACGATACCAATCATAGATATACATAGGTTAAACCCCTGAGATGCGGTAGGGTGACGACGCATTTCATTTGAACGCGGCGACGGCTGCTATTCTTATGGGGATGTTTTCATTTATATTTCGGCGCAAACTTAGAAAGGGCGAGGGAAGTTCCCGCAAGTTCGATAGGCAAGGCATATGAAGCATGTGATACGCCTCGAAATCAAACTAGTTTTATTTTGTATGACAACGTAGCACGGAACATCTATCTGCAATCAGGACATTTTCTGTTACGCTGGAGTGGTCCTCGATCAGTCCAGAAGCTCACGATCGGCTAAAAACAAATTGAATTGTTCATCGGGCACTGCTGCTCCAAGCATGTGAAGAAACAAGAAGAAGAGCATAGAGTTGCACGAAATCCATCGAAGGGTCATATTATTATTCATTCCTACTATATTATAATCGCCTAAGTATGTCTGTAAGTGTGTGTGTGTGTGTGTGTGTTTGTGTGTGCGTCTGTCTGTCTGTCACGAAATTCATAGCGAGCGTCGCAGAAAAGATAGGACGACAGTTCCAAGAAGTGATATACGTGGCAGGACGGGAACACTTTTGGTGGGTGATAGAATGTGATAGCACCTGATAAGATTCGATAAGGGGCCTTAGAAGGGGAGGGTGACCGAGCCCATAGTGCGGGACACAGTAACAGTGGGACATTGGTTCCAAGGTATGATATAGGACGTGGGACAGGAACATTATTGATGGGGCAGGGATGATAGCACCTGATAAGATTGATAATGGGACCTCAGAATGGAGGTGCCCGAGCCCATAGTGCGGGACACAGTAAACAGTGGGACATTGGTTCCAAGGTATGATATAGGACGTGGGACAGGAACATTATTGATGGGTGACAGGGAATGATAGCAGCTGATAGGATTTGATAAGGGGAGTTAGAATGGTAAGGTCACCATACTCATAACGCGGAACACAGCATCAGCTAGGCATTAATTCAAAGAATGATATTAAGAGTGGAGAGGGATACACGGCACTGTGAAGTGAAGAACAGCTGGTAGGGCTGATAAGAAACGTTGCCAATGCTGTTCAGTCAAATTGCTGGAGCCTTTACACTACCAAATTATAGAGTTTCAGTGATAGGGACATTGATGACGGGTGACAGGATCTTATCAATCGATAAGAAACGATAAGGGGTCATTATCATTACCTCTCTTATCACTATACCCCCAAGTATCAAAGCCTCAGTGTGCATACTTTTCCTTCAGCCATCACTTCCCTGATAGCCTTAGAAAATGAACTCATCCTACTATCCTACTATATATAATCCGCTAAGTATGTCTGTAAGTGTGTGTGTGTGTGTGTGTGTGTGTGTGTGTGTGCGTCTGTCTGTCTGTCACGAAATTCATAGCGAGCGTCGCAGAAAGATAGGACGACAGTTCCAAGAAGTGATATACGTGGCAGGACGGGAACACTTTTGGTGGGTGATAGAAAAAGAATGTGATAACACCTGATAAGATTTGATAAGGCGCTAACTAATACTTTCCTTCAGCCAACACTTCCCTGATTAGCCTTAGAAAAATGAAACTCCTTCCACTAAATCCTACTATATATAATCCGCTAAGTATGTCTGTAAGTGTGTGTGTGTGTGTGTGTGCGTCTGTCTGTCTGTCACGAAATTCATAGCGAGCGTCGCAGAAAAGATAGGACGACAGTTCCAAGAAGTGATATACATGGCAGGACGGGAACACTTTTGGTGGGTGATAGAATGTGATAGCACCTGATAAGATTCGATAAGGGGCCTTAGAAGGGGAGGGTGACCGAGCCCATAGTGCGGGACACAGTAACAGTGGGACATTGGTTCCAAGGTATGATATAGGACGTGGGACAGGAACATTATTGATGGGTGACAGGGAATGATAGCACCTGATAAGATTCGATAAGGGGCCTTAGAAGGGGAGGGTGACCGAGCCCATAGTGCGGGACACAGTAACAGTGGGACATTGGTTCCAAGGTATGATATAGGACGTGGGACAGGAACATTATTGATGGGTGACAGGGAATGATAGCAGCTGATAGGATTTGATAAGGGGAGTTAGAATGGTAAGGTCACCATACTCATAACGCGGAACACAGCATCAGCTAGGCATTAATTTCAGAAAATGATATAGAGTTGGAGATGGGGACACGGCACGTGAGGTGATAACAGCTGATAGGGGCTGATAAGGAACGTTGCCAATGCTGTTCAGTCAAATTGCTGGAGCCTTTACACTACCAAATTATAGAGTTTCAGTGATAGGGACATTGATGACGGGTGACAGGATCTTATCAATCGATAAGAAACGATAAGGGGTCATTATCATTACCTCTCTTATCACTATACCCCAAGTATCAAAGGCTCAGTGTGCATACTTTTCCTTCAGCCATCACTTCCCTGATAGCCTTAGAAAATGAACTCATCCTACTATCCTACTATATATAATCCGCTAAGTATGTCTGTAAGTGTGTGTGTGTGTGTGTGTGTTTGTGTGTGCGTCTGTCTGTCTGTCACGAAATTCATAGCGAGCGTCGCAGAAAAGATAGGACGACAGTTCCAAGAAGTGATATACATGGCAGGACGGGAACACTTTTGGTGGGTGATAGAATGTGATAGCACCTGATAAGATTCGATAAGGGGCCTTAGAAGGGGAGGGTGACCGAGCCCATAGTGCGGGACACAGTAACAGTGGGACATTGGTTCCAAGGTATGATATAGGACGTGGGACAGGAACATTATTGATGGGTGACAGGGAATGAGAGCACCTGATAAGATTCGATAAGGGGCCTTAGAAGGGGAGGGTGACCGAGCCCATAGTGCGGGACACAGTAACAGTGGGACATTGGTTCCAAGGTATGATATAGGACGTGGGACAGGAACATTATTGATGGGTGACAGGGAATGATAGCAGCTGATAGGATTTGATAAGGGGAGTTAGAATGGTAAGGTCACCATACTCATAACGCGGAACACAGCATCAGCTAGGCATTAATTTCAGAAAATGATATAGAGTTGGAGATGGGACACGGCACGTGAGGTGATAACAGCTGATAGGGGCTGATAAGGAACGTTGCCAATGCTGTTCAGTCAAATTGCTGGAGCCTTTACACTACCAAATTATAGAGTTTCAGTGATAGGGACATTGATGACGGGTGACAGGATCTTATCAATCGATAAGAAACGATAAGGGGTCATTATCATTACCTCTCTTATCACTATACCCCCAAGTATCAAAGGCTCAGTGTGCATACTTTTCCTTCAGCCATCACTTCCCTGATAGCCTTAGAAAATGAACTCATCCTACTATCCTACTATATATAATCCGCTAAGTATGTCTGTAAGTGTGTGTGTGTGTGTGTGTGTGTGTGTGTGTGTGCGTGTCTGTCTGTCACGAAATTCATAGCGAGCGTCGCAGAAAAGATAGGACGACAGTTCCAAGAAGTGATATACGTGGCAGGACGGGAACACTTTTGGTGGGTGATAGAATGTGATAGCACCTGATAAGATTCGATAAGGGGCCTACTATCTTTCCTTCAGCCATCACTTCCCTGATAGCCTTAGAAAATGAACTCATCCTACTATATAATGTCGATGTCGACGAGCGGGGGGGGGGGGGGGGGGGGGGTATGTAGTTCGCCTGAAACGGGAATCTCAGGGAAATTTGAGGAGAACCGAAAAACACTTCAACGAGCGGATCGCATGCTAAATGAAAGGAAAGCGTTCGTCGGTAGGCATTCCGGTGCAAGTAATGGAAACGAAATCTGCTATTTCACTGAGCATTCATATTGCGCTGTATTGGCCGACTACATATTGTATCTATCTACAGATTTATGTATTCTAATGGCGTCATGGCGCGGACTACACCGCCGCTGTAAATAGAAGCGCGTGCTGAGTTGTGCGGGATCGTAAGCCTTGCTCTGTCTGTTACGATTCGATCACTACAGCGCCTTATGAACAGCCCACTACCGAAAAAATTTCGTTAAAATTATGGACCCGCCTGGCGAAGCCAGGCCAGCTCGGAAGCCGAGCTCAAGAGAAGGAGGAGAGCACGGCGTGAGCCGTGCGATCCGACTGGTATATTATATAATTGGAGTGCGAGAGGGAGAAGGTCGTAATTGACCTCGAAGAACTTTCCCAATTGCTGGTTTTTCCGTTTCACAGAAGCTGTATGGCCCTCCCGGTGCCCTCCCTCCTTAGCTGAGGGCGGGGCAAGAATGCTATCACCCACTGTATATAACTTGCTCAGTTGCCTGTCTATTTGCTTTTGTTCATTTATTTGTTTGTTTGTTAGTTGGTTAGTTTGTTTGTTTGTCTATCTGTCTGCCTGTTCGGAAATTCGGTTCTACCTGATAGAACAACTTGAGTCAAGGTTGGGATGGGTACGGTGAGAAACTAAGTATAGACCACACGTAACCCGTGGCAAACCCTGCCCACAGTAGGCGGGGCAGGCGCCGAAAGTTAGCCTTATCACTGAAAAACTCATAATTCAGCAGATGTGAGATGAGGAAAAAGTGGAATGGAGCTAGGAGAGGGTATTCGTAAAACTTCGGACAAATGGAAAAATTAAGGCCAGCGAGGGTCACTGGTTGAGAGATGTGAGGCACATCCGTTGTGGCGGCGAGAAATGGACTGAGCCAAAATTTCCTGATGTGGTTTCAGAGCACTCCGGACACCAAGGAAAAAAAAGGATTGAGGTCAGCGAGGGGTCGCTGGTTGAGAAGTGTGAGGCACATCCGCTGTAGTGGAGCGCGCGCCGAGGTGGGCGAAGCCAAGCTTAACAATTGGTAAGACGATTCCAGAGCACTCCGGACAGGGGAAGGGTGAGCAAAGGTGCGCAGGAGCTCGGATATTGAAATACCAGCCGGCATTGCCGGCTGAAGAACGACACTGTAGAATTTGATGCTTCTCTCAAAGTACGGCGCTTTTCCCGATCAGAGAGCAAGAACACCCAGAGCTCTTCGTGATTCCATAGCCTGCGGGTTCCCTGACAAAATATTGATAACATGATGACTGCGGCCCAACTCCCTTGCGATTTGACGGTTCGACAGTCCTTGAGCCTTCTTTGCGATAATCTTTTCGAAGTCCGACAAAGAATGTCCTCTCGCCATAACCTGGAAAAGGTGAAAAGTAATGATGATGAGACAGTTTTACCCGAAAAAAATGAGACGTGTGGGAAAATGCGGTGGAACTATACTTTTGGGACATTGTCAAAGTGAGAAATTTTCAAAAAATAAAGAAAATTGAAGTTGCTCTGGAAAGTTATTAGGTTGTCCGGAAAGTTCTCAGCGTTTTGGGTGTTTCACTTTAAACGATCATAACTTTCTTAATACTCATCGGATTTAATCCAAATAAGCACCGTTCGAATCAGCACACTTTTGCCACCAGTCGATAAATCCCATCAAAGAAAAAACTGGGTGGTCGAGAATCCACGAAATCCACGAAGGCTTTTTTTGCCTGGTCCTGATTGATGAAGTATTTTCCAGCAAGGAAGTTCTGAAAATGTTTGAAAAGGTGATAGTCGGTTGGTGAAAGGTCTGGAGAATATGGCGGGTGAGGTAGAACTTCAACCCCCAATTCGTTCAATTTATGGATAGTGATTTGTGAAACGTGTGGGCGGGCGTTGTCATGCAAAAGAATCGGACCCTTTCTGTTGACAAGTGCTGGCTGCAGCTGACGCAATTTTCGGTACATTTCGTCGATTTCTTCACAGTAGGACTCTGCTGTGATGGTTTGGCCTGGTGACAAAAAATTATACTCTTTATCCCTGAGACGGGGTAGGCGTGGCATTCGAACATGGCACGGAACTGGTTACTCGTGGGATATTTAAATTTCAGACAACCGCCATCTTGTTCTTTGTTGGAAAAAGACGTGACCACATTTGGGTCAAAATGAAAATGTCTTTCCAAGAGCACAGCCACCACGACGTTTAGTTGAAGTACGCAGCCACGCCTACCTCATCTCAGGGATTTCGAGTGTATAGTGGATCACACCAGCCGATGACCACACTGTGACCATAATCTTTTTTTCGTGAGGATTCGGCTTTGGAAATTGCCTCGGTGGTTCGTCGGCATCCAACCACTGTCCGGAACGTCTCCTGTTATCATACATGATCCACTTTTCATCACAGGTGACAATTCGGTCCAAAAACGGGTCGTTTCTGTTGCGCAAAAGCAGTGAAGAGAAACCTCGAGACGTGCCAATTTCTGCCGGTCACTCAAATTGTGGGGCACCCACTTGTCGAGTTTTTTCACCTTCCAATGCGTTCCAGACCATCCGCAACAGTGGATTTGCCAACGCCTAGCTTTTCTGCAATCTCTCGAACTGTTTGGGATGGGTCAGCCTCCACAAACGCCTTCAAATCCTCGTCAGGTATTGCTTTAGGTCGACCGCTACGAGGTTCATCTTCAAGGCCTCGACAAATTAACCAGGTATGGGATAACCTGGTTAATTTGTCGAGCTGTCTCGACTGCGGATTGACCCAATTTGTAGTTGAAGAAAAATATCGTCCGAAGTTGCTCTTTTGACATGCTTCAAAAAGTCTTGGGAAAAGGGGGTTTATCAAGCAATGGTGAAACGGCAATCATCAGATAGCGCAAAAAATTCTCTTCAGGATGTACTACTGAGACGCAAGGGAGAATGAGTTTTTAATCAGCAATGAATGTACAAAAAATAGTAACACAAAACGCTGAGAACTTTCCGGACAACCTAATAATTCTCGGTGTTGGCATGCAAATTGGCACTGGTAATCAAATGTTCTATCGAAAGGCTTTTTCGAAAACGTCGTGTAGAGGCGGGATATTGTGAGATTTGTAGGTGGAACTATACTTATGAGACGCAGTGTATATAGTAGGAAGATAGGCACGCTCATGTGGGCTGGGCATGTGTCGAAGTGGGCGAAAAGAGACTCAGAAATTTACGAATGGTTGCAGAGCAGCATAGGCACCGGGGACAAACGGATTGAGGACCACATTTTACTAGATTTTAGTGCATAGGCAGCCACACACTTAACCACCGATCGTTGTAGGCCCATTTGATAGCAGACCGGTCGGCTGACGTAGGCACGCCGGTACCGGTACAAACCTCAATCTACTTCAACTACTACTTGTTTTCTTCACCGACTTCTTTAATGGATCATAAAAGCTTCACGATGGAAGTTCAACACGAAGTCAATTTTTTTCTTGCGTAGCATCGACCTTCATTTTAAAGGGATTTCCTCCATAAGCCAACAGAACCCTAGCAAGAAGCGCACAATAGCAGTGATGAATGTATTTGAAAGTTTGTAGCCACCCAGATGAGGTATTACAGAAGGTACAAGGAAAATATACTTGGATACCTGTGGACACACCCAAACATTTTGCGGAGTCGATGTCACGGGGAATAAAAGTTGTCATCAAATTGGGAAATCGTGGTTTTTCCGATTATTTTTGATAATTGTTTCTTGGTAGACAGTTGATTAAACGGGTTGAAAGCGTCAGAAGAACTGTTCTTCAGCCCGTTCCAGATTTTTCTTGTTTGCTTTCGTTAGTGTGCATGCTACACATATACACACATGTGTACATACATCTATATGTGTATACATACGTACAACTTATGGTTTATAGTAGTGTTTCGGTTTAGTACCTAACACAGCTTACGGTCCCTAATCAGAGTTATTTAGCAATACGTTGTCGACGATCAGCCACCACCACCAGTTACCACAGAAAAGGTCGTCACACTCGAGGTGAGACGGAATGACCAATTGGATATGTTTTGAAAAAGTGGAAATTACTTCCTTTTGTTTCTCATGTGCATTCATAATTTTGAGAAAACGGGTGTTTCAATCTACAGCATATCATTTCATAAGAAGAGTCATCTAAATGGAGTCATGTCGTCCTCGTGTGACGCACTGTAGCAGTCAGAAATATATGCGGTTTTGGTTTTTTGACCATAACATTGCTTAACTTCAATGGAACGTGTTTATGAAAGTAGACGAGTGTGCATGAGCGGCTACCACTTGCTGTCAAACTGTAAAAACTACAAAAGAGAATGTAGTGGATTTCTCTGAAAAGGGCAACGAGAACTCCAAACTGCGTGGCGCTTCTCCACTTCACAAATTGGGTGGTGATCGAACATACAAAGGATAAAGTCTTCGCCGTTGATCAGTCCCTTTGTGGAATGCAGCTTCCATTCAGAATCGTGGCTTATTGAATGCGATGTGGCCTATACAATGACTTGCGGTGGCCAGCCGATGTACAAGTCAGTGTTTTATCCTCCCAGACGAATCTGGTACCAATTTACCGTCCCGGAGGGTAGAAGGCTTGGTTGGCTTGGCGAGAGTCGACTCAGGACTTGAACCCTAAACTTCTGTAGCCAATACCGCCCTTATATGGCACGCCCCACCCAATGTGAATGTTCTTCCCTCATTCCTCGCGACTACCCATTTAATATCTTCCCCACTTTTTCCGCTCTCCGAACACTTCTGGAACCGACTCACGAATTTTTGAAAAAGTAGCTCCAGTCTGCGCGCACGCCGCGCCCGCGTGAATAGGGGCTTAGATCAGTTCATGTGTGTTCCGTACATCTTGGCCCATGCCCTACCCAACCCACCCTTGACCCGCCCCTCCAACTGGTTCTTCAGGTGATTCCGAATTTCCGGACAGACAGACAAACAGACAGAACAGACAGACGTTGCCGTTTATATACGGTAGAATTTGCTACCTCTGCTTGTTTGTCTATCCGCGAATTCAGTTCTTAACGTAGATGCCACTGGAAAAATTCAGGGTCAGGAGTGGGATGCGCAGGGCATGGGCCAAGATTTACAGAGCACACATGACCTATGCTAAGCTCCACCAAAATGGGCGGGCATGCGTCGGAAGTGAACGACGTTGCGGACAAAAGTTCATAATTCGGTTCGCAGCTCAGATATAGAGAAAAAGTGGGCTAAGGTTAGCAAGGGCTAGATAGAAGATTTAGGGAGACTCACACGAAGTGGGCCGGGCGCACTTGGTACGGGCGGTGCTTCCCACTAAATTCAGTAACTTGGTTCTCGAGGGTGTTTGGAGATTTTAAAAAAAGTCGATTGAAAAGCAGAGTATCACAATAGTTTACAATAGGTTTACGGCTCGAATTCCAATAGGGCTAAAACAAAA